ATTCAGGTGTCTGTATCCTGAGAATTTGCTGCTGGTTTTACTCAGCTGTGGTTAGTCCCATCTCTTCCGTTGCCCTACACTGTGGCCCTTTTGACACAACATGTTGCATCATTGGAATAGGGAGTTAACAACATTTAAAATAAATTTCTTCAGTAATATTGTTTTGAAACATATGCCTGTGTACATTACTTGATTCAGAAATACATTTTTACAGTTTGTTTATGCATATCGAGAATATTGCCTCAAAATAATATTCTCAGTATTAACTGAAATTGAATGGACTCATGCATTTTTGATCTTTTCAATGAAGGTGTTAAACTGTTTCAGGCATTTGTTAATACCACCAATAACAATGATTTCAAGGTTCATAAGAAACCTCAAGACAGACAGAAGATTGCATTTTTTTTCTCCCAGGTAAGACTGAGGAAATATTTTAACACTACAGTTTGGTTTAGAAGTGGTGAATTGTGTTCTTCTACCACGGGAGAGACCTCCATTGAGACAGCTGAAGGTTCTATTTCTAGGAAACAGCAGGACAGCGCATTTGAACAGAGCAAGGTTCAAAGCAAGAATATGTGATAGAGTTTCCTCTATCATGTGATTTCTGCTGGTGTAGGAGTTTGTTCAAACAACATCAACCCTGGGCCTCCAGGTTGGCCTCAGCTCTTTCTGACTGCTGATGGATGGTTATAACAGTTGGCACTGTCCTCAGAATGTGAACCACCTGACTTTTCATCTCTCCAATGACCGAGTAATGAATTTCCAAAGTTCAATGTTAAAACTGAACTGCTGACAATGTTTCAAACACAGTTGTCACTGTTATGAACCAGTAATAAAATGTTATTTGATGAATACCTTTTATTTGATTCTTTCCATTCTCTAGATGCCAGTACCGGTCTTTCACCCAGTTTTTTAAATGGTGTTAGCTGATTGTTTTGTGTGAATCACCATTATTTGCAGCTTGCAGCAGAAGTAAACAGTCAGATAGGGTTGATTTAGTCCCTTCAGTCAAATTGATCCTTCTCGAGAGAAACACCAGGCTGAAGCAGACTGAAACAGACTCAGAAAAGCAAAGCAATGACCAAGAGAAAATGGGCCTTCTTGATTCTCTATGTGAAACGTGCTTGGAACTGGTGTTGTTAAAATGGAGAGAAATGTGGACAAACGAGATGATGAGGACGTGAGGTATTGATGAAAGCCAAATCATTTGGAGTGGCAGATCCTGTTGTGATGGACATTGGTAAGTAACAGTTCAGTAGCATTTACGATTGTAAGATTTCTTGTCCAGTTTTATAAGTTGCCATGTAGCGTTGGACTCTCAGTTTTGATCTTGTTTGGCTTGTACCACAACCATTACGTAGCCATATAAATAAAATAAAGACCAGTGGTATTGGAGATCTGAAACAAATTAAAACAGTGCTGGAGAAACTCAACAGATCTCGCAGCATCTGTGGAGAGAAAACAGATTTAACATTTCAAGTCCAATGGCCCTTCACCAGAATTGCCATACCTGGTCTGGTCAATATTCTGTTCTTCTCCAGTAGAAAAGCTACTTGAACGGTGTAACATGGCAGACTGAACTATCTCTGACTGTAGTTTTCAGGGCTCCAAAGTACTGATCCAGTTCTTTTTAAATTTTCATTCATGGGATGCAGTTTTATGCAGGGAAATGTGAGATTTTGTACTTTAGTTGGAAGAGTAGAGGAGCTGCATATTTTTTAACTGAAAAAAACCTAGCACGAAGTTCAATAGGAAACAGGAAAGGCAAATGGCATGTTGGGCTTTATTTCAAAGTAAAAAGGGTATAAAGTGGGAGGTTTTGCTAAAACTATACAAGGCACTAGTCAGACTGTAACTGGATACAGTGAACAGTTTTGGGCCCGTTATCTAAGGAAAGATAGTGTCAGGGTAAGACGCAGTCCAAAGAAGTTTTACCATATTGATTCTGGTTATGGAGGGCCTTTCTAATGAAGAGAGGTTGCATAGTTTGGGCCTGTACTCGTTGGAAAATCTTAGGAGACTTGACAGGGGAGATGTGGACCAGAAGGAATATTCTCAGACTAAGTGGATGCATATTTCAGCTGGAGACAAGGAGGAACTTCTTTTCTGAGAGGGCAGAGAACTTGTCAAGTTGTTTACTGCAGAGGGTTGCTAAGGCTGTGTCGTTAAGTATATTAAAGGCTGAGATGGACAGATTTTTAATCAGGAAGGGAATCAAGGGTTATTGGGAAAAGGCAGGAAAGTGGAGTTGAGGGTTTTTCAGCTTAGCCATGATCTCATTGAATGGTAGTGCAGACTCAGTGGGTTGTTTGGCCTACTTCTATGTCTTATGGACTGACTTTGCTGATAAGGCAAACTTATATTGCACATCCAAATTGTAGTTTAGAAGGGGATGGTAAATACCTTCTTGACTACAGATGTGTGTTTTGTTACAAAAGCTGTACATGCAGATGCTGGAAATCGGAAATAGAAACAGAAAGTGCTGCAGAGACTGAGTAGATCGAGCAGGATTTGGGGAAGAACAAACGATTAATATTTGAGCTCTTCAACCTCAACCAGTTGAAATCCAAGCACAACTGACATCAAATTGACTTGTCTCACTAAATGCCTTAGTGAAAGCAGTCTGAAGAATTGGTCTCAGTCTCAACCTCAAAGAGTCAAATTCTTTACCAACTCATCCCAGGTCAAGTTCTGGTCCTCCCTCCATTAAAGGAGGAGAAATTCTCCCAAACATCCCTAGTATAGAAGTTACCTTTCATCTGAGGTTGATGCAGAGATTCAACATTGCATTCAATTTGCGAGCACCACCTTCAGATGCCTAAAGATGAGAGTCTTCAATGATGTTGACATCCCCGTGCTGTTACCAAGACGCTTGTGCATAAGACATTCATCCTTCTGGCTGATCTTTACGGTTCCAAAACTTGGACTACCTATAGAAACCACCTCAAGATGCTGAATAAGTACCATCAACATTGTTTGAGATGGATTCTGTGCAACAGCTTGGAGGACAGGTGTACTAACATCAGCATCCTTGAAGCATCTCACAATAGCAGCCATGATCATCCAAGACCATCTCAGCTGGGCTGGCCGTGTGCTTAGGATACCGGAGTTCCAACTACCAAAGCAAATGTTCATTACCCAGCTCAAGGAAGGCACTTGAACAAGAGGAAGATGAAGAGAATGTTTCAAAGATTCCCTAAAGGGTTCCTTTAACAAATGCAGTACAGATATCAATGCATGGATGACCTTTGATCAGAACAAACCAACTTAAAGGAGACTCCTGTATGAGGGGCCACAATTCTTTGAAAATACCCAGAGGCAAGAGGAAGTATGGAAAAGGAACTGGAGAAAGGATTGCCAGTGATCTCAAGGTGAACGACCAATTTCACCTTTGGGAATCACTTGCCAGTGTGTGGTTGGACATGCAACTCAAGGACACACTCATCAGCCACACAATGACCCACAGAACCCACAATCAGTGATACAGAATTTCCTCGGTGAACAATCGTACTCATTGCAAATGATTCATCACTGGAACAAAGGCAAGTGACCTTATGATTCTAATAAAGTTTTCACATGGCCACGGATTAAAGACAAAATTTAGAGAAACCATTCATTTTAAAGGACAGGCATGTAAAATGGTGCACCAGCAGCAGAGCGAGCATAACAGGCATGCATAGAGTCATAAAGTGAAACAGCACGGAAACAGACCCTTTGGTCCAACCAGTCCATGCCAAACATATCCCAAACTAAACTAGTCCCACCTGCCTGCTCCTGGCCCATATTCCTCCAAACCATACATTTTCCTTGAAAGATAACAAAATAGCAGAGGGTGAAGTTCCTAAATCTAGAGATGTCAGTGAATGCAGCACTTTGTGTCAAATTACCACAGGTCAGTCATCTCAAAAGGCGGATGCCAAAACCCCATGATACATCTGGAGCAAGGCTTGGGAGAATTGAAGAATGCTCAGCAAACATTACACTTCAGTAGTGTGTCTCATTCTAATCAGTGGAATGGAATGCAAAGGAGATATTGAAGACGACATATTGTGGGAATGAGCCAACAAAAGAAACGTTGAACTGCAGGGATAGATTCAAATCGCAACTTGACTGTTGTGTTATTTTACCAAGTATTATCCCGTACAGGGGGGAGGTGAGTATGCTAATTTGTGTTAATGAATGCCTCATGCTCACTGTGTCAAATAAGCTGAAAAATTTTTCTTAATGAAAAATATTCGATAAAGGAAACACTCCAGAGTGCTTCAAATGAGGCATTAGAGCAAATGGTCAAAAGTTTGATCATTACAGTCAGTCTTAAGAATCATCTTAAAGGAGCAGCTAGAGGTTCAGAAAGACGGAATTCAAGAGTTTAGTGTGTCGGCAGCTGAATACATGAGCCAGTTGTGAAGTGATATATCGGGGGCTGGATTGAGGTGCAAGAATTGGAGGCATGCAAAGATTTTGTTGGATGGTAGGACTGGATGTGGTTACAGAGACAGGGAGGGGGCATGGAACAATTTGAAAACAAGAACAAAAATGTTAAAATTGGCCTATGCTGGGGATCAGTGTAGATCGGTGAGAACTGGGGTGACACATTTCATTTTAGATTTTTAAAGTCAATAGACAGACTTCAACGCTGGAATTGAGTTTGTGAGATCATGTTTTACTTGGGTTGAAGAATATCATTGTTTAATGTTTGAGAAGTTAGAAGCTGCTATCTCTCCAGTTCCAAAATGTGTTGGCAACCAGGCTCTGCTGCCAATAAGCAACTCTGCTGTTGTTTGCTCTTTTCAATGTCAAAATAAAATGCCTTCTCATTTTTAAAATGCTTTCAACAAGTTGGGTCAACACAGTGATATAACACAATCAGTTAACAAAACATTGTACATTCAGCACATATTTCAGATTAGGGTTCTTGCTTTTTGGTTTTCTCTGCCTCCGCCTCTTCCCAAATAATAGCTTTCCCCTTACTTTCTGTAACTCAGTGCTGCAAGCCAGCTGTGTGCGCATGGTTTATTCATTACTCTGCTCTGACCACGTTGGGTTTTATTTGCCATGAACTGAGGGAGGAAAGTCGCAGAGAATGGGTATGCTAAGCCGATGAGGAATAAAAGTGGTATGTGTAGTTGATTTGTCTACATAGCTGTACAGAAAAAAAAAAGTCAAAACAGATTTTTTATCATGCAACTGAGCAAGATGCTGGTGTGCCCAGCCATTTTGAACAAGTTGAGCTCTGAGCAAGTTATAACATAGATACTGCACCAGTCCATAGTTGATAGGTGGAAATGGCTTTGATAAAATGTCTAACCGCATTTGTCAGATTGGTCCAACTAATTAGAAGTGTTGCAGAATGCCAGCATGCTTTGGTTCCTTTGCTTGTTAATGTTTTACTGCCTCCTGATGTTTCTAGGAGCTGCTGATGCTGAATACCAGTTTTTGATATTTCTGCTGAGTCATGAGTTTAAGGAACAGAGAGTGGCAATTCCTGTTTCTCATCTTGGCTGTTGTACTGAAAGGTAGTGGCGGTTTTCTTTTCACTTTGTACTATGAGCAAGATATTCTAATCTCTCTGTTGTAACAACTGTCTCTGTAAATACTGCAGCAGTCAGACAGAGCGAGATTAAGAAGCAAAACAACAGCTTTCTTCTGGATACCATTCAAACCAAGACAGTCGTTACAGCAGAGGATGCAATTGTCAGGATTAACCAGCGTAAGTTCCTGAATTAACATCTTGCTCTATTTCACTGTCACGAAACTGTTCTTCAGTAGCTGCCAGGCAGTTGCTGTAGGACTGTGGGTGAAGTCTTTCCTTTTTCGAATAATTGACTCCTTTAACTGTACGAATTCCAGAGATCGATCTCTCTCTTTCCAAATCCCCCTCCACTGCAACTTCCCCAACAATGGAATAGAAATTTGTCCACTCCCCAAGTATAGTTTTTTTTTGCAGCACTTCAAAATCAATCCAAATGTTTAATTACATTGCCGTGTTGTAAATTGCTTTGTTGGTACTGTAGTTGTCTTCTTGTCACTGGCTGCTTGATACACCATCTTGATTGGGCTGATGGATCAAGCCATGAACATTTGCCCTCCTGCTTATAGGAATATTTCGATATGAAAAGCCATGGAGGAACTTCCTCATCGAAGGTGACATTGTCAAACCTGTAAGTTCCTTTCAGTTGTATTTCAATTTTTTACCAATGAATGCAGGATGCTCCATGGCCCCTTCTAGCTTAGAGAGAGTGCATTATATACTGTGTTGACACTGATTATATTTTGTTCTTCTGCCAGTAGAAAGTGCCTCAGATTTTGGTGCAACTTGATGTTTATTTTTCGCCTCTTAAAGTTTGATTGTTTCCACATTACTGTTGACCTAATAGACGCACTCGTGATGATTCTTGGGATTCTGCAATATTTTGATAGTGAGGCAACGTGTTTATTAGTTTTAAAACTTAAATCTCTGGTACACTGTCCTTGTATTGCATGTGTATCCCATCTTTGGGATGCTGAGTGAACGCAACTTACTATCTTCTTTGCCCCTTCAATCAGCTGTGGAGAAATGCTGTGGTGTCTGACACCAAGACATGGCAGAAATCGCCAGATGGTGTAGTGAGAATTCCATATGAAATATCACAACAGTATGGTGAGTTCTGCCTGAAAACTTGGGTTAGAAATCATTTGTCTTCTTTTGAAAAAAGTAAGTTGGAAAAGCTTTGTTATTGCTCATAATTGGCTCAGAATAGCTCATGTTGATGCTTTCAGTCATTCTTATGTGGAGATCCAGCAGCTGGTCTTCCAGCTGTACAGCCTCGATGGACTCACTGAGATGGACAGAAACAAGAATTCTTCCATTCTCAGTTCATCAGTACCCATCCCAACATCTGAATGCTGATGCTGGTAGTATGTGAGAATCCCAGTGACTCTCACCTTTGTATGTTTTCTGCTGCTTCGTAAATAACAATTCTCAATTTTTCTCCCACTTGTCACATGGTTCTGCCCTGTTTAGATTTTTCAATATGTGTGTGTGCTCCTGTCCTGTTTCTTAGTCAAATGACCATTCATTTTTCAGATTATTGACAGAAGAGGTTTTTCACTGTCTGCTGGGGATGTGCTGCAACTTCAGACATTTGCTCTGAATTCCTTCTGTCAAAACTTTAATTTTGCCAATTTCTCTTTTTTTCTGAGCCCGTGCGTTGTTGAAATAATGGTCAGTTTTTGGAAGGATCGCAGCTAAGTCTGACTGCTGTTCTTGTGCAGCATCCACATTTTCCAGTAAAAGCGAATGACCAGTCAAAAATAGAAATTCAGCCAAGGTTACTCTCTTTAAAGCAGTAACTCTTGTAACACTGTACATGCTGGTGGAATGGCTCACTAAACACCAGGAAGACAGCGTACTTGCGATTCCCCTGCTGTACAAGGCTCAATCGGATCAATTTGGACTTTGGAGAAAGCCTCAACAATGAATTTTATTGGGCGACAGGGATTGCTGTAACTAAGCCCTTGTCTCACACCCTTGCTCTTTCCCCAACTCAAGGGATAATGATCTCTAACATGAAAATTGACAGAGATGAGTTGATTCTGAATTGACCTGTGAATAAGCTTTTAATTTATTAATGAAGCAGCAAAAAAATGATGTTAAAAGATCTTCTGTGTCAGCCATCCTGATGCTTGTTCATCACAGTACATACATCTCTCCCCCATTGATAAGCTGTTCATTGAGTATGCGCATGTTTCATGGACAGGAATTTTTAGTTTATGCACTAATGATTCATCAAGTCCAGAGACAGGTAGAAAACAGGGAAGTGCAGGCCAGTTAGTCTGATAGGAGTCATCGGGAAAGTGCTGGAACCTTTGAGGAAGATCCAAGCAATGCACTTGGAGAACCATCATATTCAGCCAGTATTGTTTTTCTGAAGGGAATTTAGGTTTTGCCAAATCAATTTGAATATGTGAACTTGTAACTAGTAGGATAGTTTGCTGAACATACAGAGCTCAGTGGACATAAAGAGGTTGCAAAGACATATACTCATCTTGAGTAAGTTGGTCTCAAGATGGCAACTGGAATATAATCAAGGAAAGTGTGAGGTTATTCACTTCCGTTCTCAGTATGGAACAGCAAAATATTTTTAAAAGACGTGAAACTTATAAATATTGTTGGTATCAGACTTACGTATACATATACAAGACAAATAAAGTTAACATGCAGGTACAACAATGAATAAGGAAGGTAAATGACATGGTCGCCTTTCTTGCAAGTGAATTCGAGATAAAAATAAAATACATAAAAGTAACAATAAAAATAAAATGCTTGCTGCATTTGTACAGTGCTTAATGACACTATATCTGCAAAACTGTGCATGGTTTTAGTCTCCATCTTGAAGGAATACTTGCATTGGAGGCAGTATGTTTCCTAGGAGACGGGGTTGTCCTGTGATGAGAAAGGATTTAACTGAGTCGACATTCTCTGCAGGTCAGAAGAAGGAGAGGTGATTTTATTGAAAAGTAAAAGACCCTGGAGACCTTGCTGGAACAGATACTGAGAGGTTGTATCTCTTGGCTGATGAAACAAGAGCTTGCGCGCATTCTCAGGATTAGGGATTGATCATTTAGACTGAGAAGAGGAGAAACCTCTTCAGTCATATGTTTGTAAATCAGTTAAATGATCTACTCCATTGTTCAATATCTCTAATGCTGAGATGGTCATTTGTCTCTGGGGAAATAAGTATCTGGGGAGCAGATTGGAAAAAAAGTTTACGGTTCAGCTTCACTCATGATTGTATTGAATGGTCGAGCAAACTTAGAATCATTAAACGTAGAATCCCTTCAGTGCAGAAAGAAGCAATTTGACCCTTCGAGTCTGCACTGACCCTCTGAATAGCATTCCACCTCGACCCTGCCCCCCCATCTTATCTCCATAACCTAGATTTACCATGGCTAACTGATCTAGCCTGCACATCCCTGGACACTATGGAGCAATTTGGCATGGGCCTTCTGGATGTTCAGTGTATTACTGCTTTCATAAATTTTGTTCTGAATGTCTTGCGAGTCTAGCAATTCTACATGTGAAAATGTTCTGTAAAACACAAGACTAAAAAATCAGAGTAGGTGAGTCAGCTTTTGTCAAGAGACACGTAGTACCCAAAATTATTAATGCGTCTTTTTTCCTTTTTCCCTCTTCAGATGATAAATGGTGTCCAGCGTATTTCTGTTCATATTTTCCTTATTTAATTTTTTTTTCTCTTCAGATGAGGAAACTTGGAGCTCCATCAGTCGAGGTTTCAAAGACTTTGAGAAATTCACGTGTGTACGCTTTGTGCCTCACAGTGATGAGAAGGATTTTATTTCCATTCAGCCCATTCACGGGTGGGTAAAACGTGTGGGACCACGGTGTAACTGTCCTGATAAATGTTCTTTCTCATTTGTGACGTGACTCACTGCAGCTGAGCTGGGTGACACTTCAACTTCACTGCTTAAACTCCTGAGCAATGCAATTAAGTGGTCAGGAACAGTGAAGTCGCAACTAGTCATAGAATCCATACAGTGTGGAAGCAGACCATTTGGCCCATCGAGTCCACACCAACCCTCGGAAGAACATCCCACCGCGATCCAACCCCCTACCCTATCCCTGTAATCTTGCATTTCCCATGGCAAATCCACCCAGCCTGCACATCCCTGGACACTATGGGCAATGTAGCATGGCCAATTCACTTAGCCTTCACATCTTTGGACTGTGGGAGGAAACCAAAGTACCCAGAGGAAATGCATGCAGACACAAGGAGAACGTGCACACTCCACACAGACAGTAACCCAAGGGTGGAATCGAACCCGGGCCCTTGGCATTGTGAGGCAGCAGTGCTAACCATTGAGCCACCGAGACACCCTGAGGTGTGGGAAAGAGGGGTTCCACTTTGTGAGGTACTGGTATCATTACTGAGACAGGAGGGAACTGTACCAACAGGATAGCCTCCATCTGATCCTGGGGCCTGGATCCTAGTGGCCACAGGGACTTTAGACTAGTTAAAGTGAGGGAGGCCTCAGTACCAGTTCCTGAAGTTTCCAGAACAAGTAAGAGGACAGAGTGTGTGGACAAGGTCAAGAATCTAACTACAGGCTCAGCAGATAAGGGGCATCTATCAGAACTGGGATGGTCAACATAGGACTGAAGATGTTGCGCGTCAATATGCACAGTTTACCAAACATGATAAATGAGCTTGTCGCACAGCTTGAAATTGGAGGTTACCCAATTGTGGACATCAGAGACATGGTTACAAGGGGATCAGGACTGGGAACTAAATATCCAACAATATGCGTCCTATCAAAAGGGCAGGAAGATGGGCAAAGGGGGTGGCGTTGCCTTGTTAATCAGAAGTCCAGTTAAGATGATAGCAAGAAATGATCTAGAGTCAGAAGGTGTAGAATCTGTGTGGGTAGAGTTGAGGAACTGTAAGGGGAAAAGGATCCTGATGTGACTTATGTATAGCCCTCCTAGTAGTTGTCAGGATGTGGGGCAGAAAATAAATCATGAGATAGAAAAGGCATGTATGAAAGACATTATCAGAAGAATCATGGGGGACTTCAGTATGCAGGTAGTCTCGGAAGATCAGGTTGATAGAGGATCTCAAGTCAAGCAATTTGCGGAACATCTAGGAGATGGTTTGTAGGAGCAGATTGTGGTGGGGCCCACTCGTGAAAAGGCAGTTCTGCATTTGGTGATGTGTAGTGAGGCAGCTCTCTTGGGAGCATTAAGGTGAAGGTACCTGTTGGAGACAGTGACCACAGTATTATAGAATTCACTGTGCAGTTTGAGAGGGACAAGATTGAATCAGATGTAAAGGTATAACAATTGAGTAAAGGTTGTAATGGAGTACAAAGAAATGCCAGAGGAACTGAACAGGTTGCATTAGTCTTCTTGGTGGAAGACACCAGTTACAGACCAGAACTTCAAGACAGTCTGCGGGAGAGGTGAGAGTAGTTGTCATCACTGAAGAGAAGGTGCTGGAGAAGCTGAAAAGCCTGAAGATGGTTAAATCACCTCGACCAGTTGGACTGCACCATTCAGAGGGGATAGCTGAGGAGGTTGTGAAGGCTTTGGTGGTGATCATTCAGGAAGGAATCACTGAAATCAGGGAGGATCCTGAGCACTGAAAAATGGCTAATGTCACACCTCTGTTTAAGATGGGAAGGAGACAGGATGTAGTGATTGTAATGAGGTCAGCCAGGTGGACCTCATAGAATCTGAGTTCCCTGATTGGGGTTGTTAATCTGGTTCAATCAGGGAGTCCTGCCTCTCGGTTATAAACAGGAGCGTCAGGGATTCTGCTCACTCTGAGAGCTGGCTCTGAGAAAACCAGACCAGTGTCAAGTACTAGGCATGTGTAAATTAGGGTGACTTGGTGAGGGGATACCAGCCTCTGTAGAGTTAATTCACAAAAGACGAGAAATTATAAGCCAGTTATACTGAACTTGGTCATTGGTCAGACTTTAGAGTCCATTACGAAAGATGAGTTTGTGGAGTACTTGGGAGTATATGGCTTCATCAAAAGAGGTCATTCCTGACAAATCTGTTAGAATTCTTTGAGGCGATAGCAATCAAGTTCGACAAAGGAGAGCCAGTGAATTGATATGTTTGGATTTCCAGAAGGCCTTTGACAAGATGCCACACAGAAGGCTGCTAAATAAGAGCCCATGGTGTTAGGGGTGAACAATTGTCATGGATAGGGGATTGGCCGCTTGGCAGAAGACAGATTTTGGGGATAAAGGGGTCTTTTTCAGGATGGCATCTGGTGATGAGTAGAGTTCCGTAGAGATCTGTGTTGGGACCACAACTATTCACGTTATACTTTAATGATCTGGACGAAGAATTGTGATAGGATGGAGAGGTGTAGACTCTTCTAAATGGGTAAAGTCTGATTTAAAGATTTGCTTAAGGTTAACATGCAGGTTCATTTTGCAGCTGGGAAGGCAAATACAGTGCTCACATTTATTTTGAGAGGGCTCGAATACAAGAGCAGAGATTTGGTGCTGAGGCTGTATTAGGCACTGGTGAGACTGGATTTGGAATATTAAGTGCGGTTTTGGGCCCTGTATCTAAGGAAGGATGTGCTAGCTTTGGAAGTGGTCCAGCGGAGGTTTCCAAGAATTATCCTGAGAATGAAGGGCTTGTCAGATGAGGAGTGGTTGAGGATTCCGGGTATGTCAGAGAGAGGTACTTGGAATACTGTGAGTAGTTTTGGAAGGATGTGCTGGCCTTGAAGGGGGTCCGGGTAGGTTACGAGAATGATCCTGGGGATGAAGGGCTTGTCATATTCAGAGCAGTTTAGGTCTGTGGGTCTGTACTTGATGGAATTTAGAAGGATGAGGAGGGATGTAATTGAAACTTATAGAATACTGAGAGGCCCTGAAGTGGATGCATTGAAAATGTTTTCATTAGAGAGACCAGGACCTGAAGGCACAGCCTCAGAGTGAAGGAAGTGACCTTTCAGAACTGAGATGAGGAGGAATTTCTTTAGCCAGAGGCTGGTGAATCAGTGGGATTCATTGCCTCAGAGGTCTGTGAATTCCATGTCATTGAATGTCTTTAAGACAGAGATGGATAGGTTCTTGATTAGAGAAGGGATGTAGGCTTCTGAGAGAAGCAGGCGAATAGTGTTGAGAAACACATCAGTCACGTTTGAGTGGTGGAGCAGATTCCATGTGCTGAATGACCTCAGTCTACTCTAATATCATATGGTCGTGTGGTCTTATTTTCAGATGTGATTTCAGTGCTTCTTACCACATGACATTAGACAAATTAGAAAGGTAGCTGGTTCGGTAAAAGCGAGCCAAGAATTTACCCTGAAATTAATTATTAAAAGCAAAATCTTGGATTTATCAAATGCTTTTCATGAACTTTGTTTGTCCCAAAATGCCTTAAAACCAATGAGGTGTTTTTTTTTGCCTCAGATATTAATTGTTGTTTCAGTTTTGTCAATATGTTAATGACCGTTTACTTCTGTCACTTAGGTGTTACTCATCTGTAGGCCGTGTTGGTGGAATGCAGCTCATGTCACTGAATCACCAGTGCTTGAAGAAGGGGAAAGGTGTTGTTGAACATGAGATTATGCATGCACTTGGCTTCTGGCATGAACATGCGAGGAGCGACCGAGGCAAATACATCAAGATTGAGTGGAAGAATGTGTGGCCTGGTAAAGCGTTTTCTTCCCCCTTACTCCTTGCTGCTTGATACAAATGTGTGTAATCTCCTTGTCGGTAGCAAGTTGAACCTTAAAGCAAGCTCATGGGATTTCACTGCCAGAGGACCATGAAAAGAATTCACAGCACACAGACAAGCATTTGGCCCAACAGGTCCAAGCCTGTGATATGCCCTCTGTGAGCCTTCTCCTGCCCTTTTTCATAGAACTCTGTCAACATATCATCCTTTTCTTTTTACCTTTTTCATCTGGATTCCCTGAAATGCATCTAAAGTATTTGCTTGAATGACACCTATGGTTGCTCATTCCACATGGATACCGAAATATTTCCTGAATTCCATATTGGATTTACTTCAATTATCTTGCATTTATGTTCCTTACTTGTAGTTCTAATCGCAAGCAGAAATATCTTTTCCACCGCTGCCCCATGAAACCATGTTATAATCATGAAGATTTCTATCAGATCAGTCCCTCCAGTTCCTCGAGGAAGCACTCGTAAAGTGAAGATCTGCCCCAGTGATATTTGCTTTCACACCCCTCTTTAGAAATGCAGCCTGAGAAGGGTAAAGCAGCTTTTTATCAATCAAACATTTCAATGAGGTGTGTGAATCTGAGAAAAAAGCTGCTATAAACTGGATTAATCACTGTCCATAGGTTCTGCTGAAAGGGAAGAGTAATTAAAGTTCAAGCTACTCGACTGGAATAAATTTGTTGACATGATGGATGCCCAATGGTTTTCAGTGGAGTGTTTTCATTAGTTGATCAGAACATGATAAATGACAAAAATATCTCAAAGAAATGTAATTGTGTTTCGCTTTTGTGTGTACCATTGACTCCCTGGCTTCTGTTTCAGGTTATGAACATAATTTCTTGAAACAAAACACCAACAATCTTGAGACCAAATATGATTATGGCTCCATTTTGCACTACAGCAGGTGAGAATGGTGCCGAGTTGGTACATGGGAGTTGGTAAGCCACTTCTCTCTCTCTTTCTACCTTAATGTGGAGGAGCAGCAGCCTGAACAGCATCCCTGGGACTTGCACCGCATTCACGTCTGCCGCAAAGCCTTGAAATGAGATGCAGTTTTTGCAATTCCTGTGATTCTTAATCTGCATGTCAGCCACAACCTTGCATTTTCTGTAAACTTGAACGTATCCAAAACTTCTGTTAGTATTTTAAATTACAGCAAATCTATTCACTCATCACCCTTGTGTTAGCTGGCTAATGTTAGCTCCTGATCCAACAACACTTTTTTTTGGGAAAGACTCTTCATTGTTGTTTTCAGATTTCCTCACGGGTTTACCTGCTCCCTCCAGCCCAAAAACTTTCCAGACTCTCTTCACTGCACCAATTCTGCCTCTTCAACATCCTTGGTTTTCATTGCTGCACCATTTCTCTTTGCTTGTGGGCAGCACGGTGTCTCAGTGGTTGGCACTACTGCCTAACAGTGCCAGGGACCCAGATTTGATTCCACCTTTGGGTGACTGTCTATGTGGAGTTTGCACCTTCTCCCTGTGTCTGCCTGGGTTTCCTCTGGGTGCTCTGGTTTCCTCCCACAGTCCAAAGATGTGCAGCTTAGGTGGATTGGCCATGCTAAATTGCCCATAGTGTTCAGGGATGTGGAGGCTAGATGGGTTAGCCATCGGACATGCAGAGTTTCTGGGTTAGGATGGGTCTGAATGGGATGCTCTTTGGAGGGTCAGTGTGGACTTGATGGCTGAATGGCCTGCTTCCACACTGTAGGGATTCTATATTTAAACGTGAGCTCTGAGTTTTTGAATTCCTTCCCTAAACATCTACCTTACTGCTCATTTATAAAGTAATTCTTCAAATCTCCCCCTTTGAGCAAGCTTTTGAAGAAACCCTGGAGGAGTACATAATGAATAAGGGGAAAAGTTAAAAAGGAAATTAGGAGAGCATAAAGAGGCATGAGAAAATAATGGCACATAAAATAAAGGAAAGAACTAAGTTATTTTACAAGTACATTACAGTTGGAGAGGGAACTAGGGTAAGAGTAGAGTCATTCAGGATTGCACTGGTAATTTGTGCATGGGGCAAGAGGACATAAGCAGGTTCTATGTGAATGTTTTGTGTTGGTGTTCACGAATGAGAGGGATAGCGTGGAAAGAGAAATCAGGTCGAAGAACTATGATTTACCGAAAGAAATTAGCACAGCAGAGAGGAGATTCTGGCAGGCTTAAAAGTAGAAAAATCTCCAGGGCTTGATGAAATGTAACCCAGGCTGTTGAGCAAAGCAAGCGAGGAAATAGCCGGGAATAATTTTGAGTTCCTGTCTGGCTACAGATGGCTGGAGGACAGCCAATGTGGTACTGTTATTCAATCAGGGGGCAAGGGAGAAATCAAACTATAGGCCAATCGTTCTAACGTCTAGTAAGGAAACTATTGGAAGCAGTTCTGAGAGTCAGAATCAATCTGCATCTGGAGAGTAGGGATTACTGAAGAACTGTCATATTGGTTTTGTTGAAGAGAGGTCATGTCTGACTACCTCAGTTGAATTTTTCAAAGAGGTGACCAGGTATGTAGATGAGGGCAGTGCATCCAATGTTGTCTGCTTGGACTTCAACAAGGCCTCTGATAAAGTGCCACATGGGAGACTGAAAGCAAATCTCATAGCCCATGGAATCCAAGGAAACTTGGCTACTTCAATCTGCAATTGGCCAAGTTGTAGGAAGCAGAGGGTGACAGGAAACCTATGTCCCATGGGGGTTCCACAGGGATTAGTGTTGATGCCTTTGCTGTTTGTGATAAATATATTTGATTTAGATTGAATGCAGGAGGGTTTATCACAAAGGTTGCAGATCATATGAAAATTGGTGGTAAATTGTGAAGAGGTTAACCTTAGATTACTGAAGAATATAAAGGGGCTGGTCAGATGGGCTGATCATTGACAAATGGAATTCAATCCAGATCATTTAATATGAGGCGATGCACTTGGACGCGACAAAAAAGGCAAGGGAATACATGATTAACAGTGGAACCTTGGGTAGCACCCAAGGTGGATCAGAGGGACCTTGGTGTGCGTGCCCAGCGGTCCCTTCAGGTAGAAGGACAGGAATATTAAGTGGTTAAGAAGGCATTTGGGATACTCACCTTTCATAGCTAGGCATACAGTTTAAGTGCAGGGAGATGATACTGGAACTGTATAAAAGATTAGTTCGGCTGCATTTTGAGTATTGTGTGCAGTTCTGGAATCCAAATTTTAGGGGTGAGGTGATTACACTGGAGAGGGTGCAGAAGAGACTGACCAGGATGTTGCCTGGGTTGGAGAGATTTGGATAGGAAGAGAGATTGAACAGACTGGGGTTGTTTTCCTTGAAGCAGAGGAGACTGAGGGGGACAAAATTGAATTGCATAACATCATGAGGGGCATAAACAGGGTTGACAGGAAGAAACTTCTCCCCATGATGGATAGGATCAATGACTGTGGGCATAAATTTAAGGTTAGGGGGCATGATATTTAAGAGGGTTTGAGGAAAAATGTTTTCACCCAGAGGTTTCTGGGAATCTGGAACCTACTGCCTGTCAGGATGATCGAGGCAGAAGCTCTCAAAACATTAAAGAAGTATTCAGAGGTACTCTTGTGATGCCAAGGCATACAATCCTCTGGGCTAAGTGCTGGAAAATTAGATGAGAATAGTTAGCTGGTTGTTTTTGACCAGCATGGACCCAGTGGCCTGAGGAGCCTTTTCCTCTGCTGTGGACCTTTATGACGATAATTCTATTGACTGTCACAGCTTATCATGTGTCTTGGTTTCAAAATTTATTTGATAACCCTCCTGTGAAGCCCCTTGTTATAATGTGTTGGTGTGATTATATGCAAGTTTTCAGTCATCAGGCATGATTTAATATGCAGTATAATTTTTATTCAATTGTAGGACTGCATTTTCCAAGAATGGACAGCCAACCCTGAGACCTCTAATAGATACAGATATTATGATTGGCCAGCGAATCCGCCTGAGTGAGCTCGACTTGTTGAAGATTAATCGACTGTACAACTGCACCATGCACCTCAAAGATAAGGCCAATGTTTTGAAACGTAAGACTGTGAATAAGTCTCAATCTTATTCAATCTGTGTGAGAAACAAGAAAGAAATCAGTCGAAATTTCTGCTGGTTTTTGTTAGTGATCACAGCAGATTTGCATTAAGAGGCACTTTTTTGGATTTTTCTGATCAGCTCCCACTTCGTGTCATGGATTTCCCGTGATTTTTCTCACCTGGCACTGGTTTTCTGCTTGCCCCTGAATCCTTTATTTGGGAGGGTGGGAATTAAATCATTTTTGCTGTCAATGCATTGCTGATGGTTATTTAGGTTCTTCCAACCAAAATCTGATGTTGCTTTAAGTGTTGCTGAATTAGACCTCGATCTGTCTTGTCTTTGATAAGCATCCATGTGATCCAAAAGTTTTTAAAAGGCTTTTGTGGGAGCTTATTCCAGTTTTAATCAAAGAATCTGGAGTTGCAGTCTGAGGGGGTGATTGTTTTGCCACTATGTGCACAAGAGAAGGTTTCAATCAAAGAGCTATCTGAAGAATCTATCAAATTAGGTTCACATTCATTGTCCCTCATGTGATCAGGGATGGAAAATACATGATTCTTGGCTTTGCAGTTTGACAATGTCTCTTATCCTAGCTGGGTAGGTGGGTAGTGTCCATCTGTTCTTCAATGAACAGTGAATCCTTTTATCTGTCTGATAAAAAATGACATTGGACAAGGAGAATGGTATGTAGATATATCTCAGTGTTGGTACAGTCTGCTGCTTGTATATGTTTTGAGATTGCAGATACGGAAGTCTTTCTGCATAAGAAGGTCGTGATCCCATAACAAACATATTTGTGTTCAAACAAAAATAGTAGAAAACTTTGTCTTATGATTTAAATGCCTTTTGAAGAGGATCGCTGATTTGGTTTTCACTGTTTAATATCAGTGACATACCAGGAGCTGTGGTTAAGCACATTCCTTTCAATTCCAACGCATGTCCTTCACGCAACAGCCTTGAGTCACAGCTTTCTGTCTGTATTGGTCAAGTCTCTCTTTCTATGTATGTGGACATAATTATTTTTGATTATTAACTCGGTCCACTTGCCTGCATTGAGGGAGAGGTTTCTCTGGCCCACTTCCATCTTCATGAGTCCTGATGATGCTGTGATAGAAGAATATGCAAGTTCTCTGGCCAGTGTTTCTTCTTCTCTGCACTGAGGGGCTGCCTTTCCCACACGTGCCTTTACCACTCTGCTTCAGCTTGAAGCCACTGGAGTTGTGCCTCTTGGAGCAAAAGAGACTTGGTTAAGTGTTCAATAGTGGGGAAGGTCTTGATGTTACAAATGAGGATAAGTTGTTAAAGTGGTCGATTGATGATCAGAAAACACAGAGTGAAGGTGGCGATGAAGAGATAAGGTGAGGAACAGTTTGATGTTTCTTTTAAATGCATTGAGTGATGATCTTGAATGTTTTGCATAAGGGTGGTGGAAGCAGATCCAAGGGTAGCATTTAGAAGAGAACTGGAAAAATATTTGAATGGAGAAAATATTACTGAGCTATGGAGAATAAGCTGAGGAATGGAACGAATCAGATAAATTCCATGGCCATCAGGTCTGGAGCTAAGTTGGAAAAGTGGCTGAAACAGATTGAATGGCAACTTAAAAATCCTTTCAAAACATGTAGAGCTGGCAGGAAGAGTGGAAACTGCCCCACCTGCTATGCAATTGGTTTTTACGCACATTGTACTCTGTGGCAAGCATCCTCCTCATGTCCAGGGACTGCTGATAGATAGCTCCATCATGGGTATTGTGGATTGAGTTGTTTCCTTCTGCATTGTCTCATAATATGTGAAACCTGAACAACTGACATTTTAAAGTTGTAAATCCTGATTTAAACTGTTCCATTTCCTTCCACCCCATCCCACCCAAAACACCTTAGGTCTTCCATTGCTCAACGAAAGTGGTTCCTTGCGTGAACTTGGAAGAGCCAAAGAAGCAAGGAGATTAAAACCTCTTTTGGATATCTCTCCTGAAACAGCTAAAGTGAGAGTTCACACGCCAGCACAGCTGGTGGTGAGTTTGCGTGGGAATGGGTCCACAGTGGATCAAAGTATGGCCATTGTGCATGAATATCCCAAATGCATTCTCCTACGCAAGTGTGCACCTATTAGTCGACTGACTAAGTCAGGGCCTGAAGTCTACAATATTTCTTTCATCACAGCATTCAAGGAATCAGCAACTGAAGCCTCTGGGGACCAGAGCAGGCCTGTTAGGGCACAGATTGGTAAAGGAAAAGCTAAGACATTTCTGCTTTTGCCTTTTGCTCAGAGTCTGATGACAAACTCAGTGACCACGGACTCATCTCTGCATGCAATGTCTCCTACACTGGCGCAGGGATCTCTAGCTCAAGGACCTGCACTTTGCCCCAAAACATGTGTCAGATGCTGTACCAAGGAACACGTTTTGCATCCACACAGCCAAAAGCCAACGGATAAGATTGAACCATTGGCAGGAACTCTGCACACAGTTAAATCTGACACCCAGACTCAAGCGACAGTGTGGTTTCTGGCTGACTTATTGACCACTGGTCAGCAAGATCCTCAACCAGTCAGCTGGTCTGACCTACCAGACGCACATACACAAACCAGCAATGTTGCTCATCAAACTCTGCCGTCAGTTGTACTTGTTCCCACTTTGACCAATTTAAGTTATTCATTGAATATTCCTGACCTAATTCCAAACCAGAGCCATCAAAAAAAATTACCTTTTCATTCTCTGATCACCTGCACACAGAAGATTGGTCACTTCAAATCAATGAATCCAGCCAGTCAGTTTGAAATGCCAGCCAGGCCTCTGCAGTCCAGCATCTCGATAAAGGAAACCACAGGAGCACCTGAGATTCTTTTCACAGAGTTTCCCAACAGAATGGTCACACAGAGAAGTGCACTAGTAGGGTCCTCATATGAAAAAAAGATGCCTTTTCTTCTGAAAACTAGAGGCCATGCTTGTGGGAACAAGGCATTTAATTCACGTGACTTTTTGCTGACAACCGTACCTAAACCGAAGGGCACCCTGCTGGTGTCCACTCCAACTGCAGCGACTCTAGTGGCATCCACTCGACCTGGTGACAACCTGTTGGTGTCCATCTCCCCCGCAGACACTCTGCCAGTGTCGACTCCCCCCGCAGACACTCTGCCAGTGTCGACTCCCCCCGCAGACACTCTGCCAATGTTGACTCCTCCCACAGACACTCTGCCAGTGTCGACTCCCTCCGCAGACACTCTGCCAGTGTCGACTTCCTCCGCAGACACTCTGCCAGTGTCCACTCCCCCCGCAGACACTCTGCCAGTATTCACTCCCCCCGCAGAGACTCTGCCAGTGTCCACTCCCCACGCAAAGACTCTGCCCGTGTCCACTCCTGCCACAGATGCCCTGCCAGTATTCACTCCCCCCGCAGAGACTCTGCCAATGTCAACTCCCCCCGCAGAGACTCT